TGAATTATGCATGATGTTTATATTTTAAAGTACGTTTTCATAAAATTTATTTTAAATTGAAAAGTCCTTGGAATCCGCTCCCATGTTACACACTTCGTCTGTAATTTCAAATTTTATTTCTGTACCTTCATTAAAGACTACCACGCAACATGCCCCACCATTTGTCGGAGGAATGATGACATTGAGCTCATCCACGAGTTATGGCATTTTCAAGCTTGACAAAGACAACTGCTAAAGGAGAAATAGAAGATAAAATGAGCTTAAATAAGAACGAGGGTTGGGGAAGTTAGGAAGTGGAGTTGGAGATATGTTAGAAGGGTTGCCTTGTTATGGAATTATTGGAGACTTGAAAAATTGCCGGTCATCGGAGTATTAAGGTTATTAGTTATTACAGGCGCAGGTGGCGCAGAAGCAGTGGCAGTTACACAAGTAACAAGAAGGGGATAGTTACCAAATTTGGTTAAAATTGGGTTTATACATTTTACTTTTCTTAAAATTTTCTTTTCTCAATTGAGAGGTAAATTTCCTTTTAACATTTTAACGGTGAAACTATGTAAATTTTTCCTTTTAACATTTTAACGGTGAAACTAGTTCATCAGTCAACTTGGCACATTTTTTTAATAGCATATAATTTGTAAATTTATAAAAATATTATTTTATATAAGTTAGCTGGTGTATCTTATCAAAAATAAAATAAAATAAATACAAAACTAAAATTAATAAATTTCAAAAAATAAAAAATAATATTTTTGTAATTAAAAATATAAAATAAAATTAATATATATTTTAAAATTTGTAATATTTTTCATTTTCACATTGATATTTAGTTTAAATAAGATTATGTCAAATTATGAGACATTTTAACCTAAAATCACTGAAAAAAAAGTGAAAAACACTCCCATCTCTTTAAATTTATTTAAATGATACTTAGTTTTATTTTTATTCTTAAAAAAATACCCAATTCCTTTGAATCAAGTTGACTAGTAATTTTATTAATTTCCACCACTTGCCATTAGACAAATTTAATTTACAATATCAAAATTAATTCATACATATTGTAAAATACATTGTATAACATATTTTATAAAAAATAATTTTCTTATCATATAAAAGTAAGTTGTTCACTGTAATTAGAAAATATTAATAGGTTGTTTCATTCATTAAGAAAAGTTTAATTTTCTAAAATTTTTGAATTTTTTATTTTTTGTGTTACTTGATTTAATATAAAAAGTTGAAATTTTAAAAAATAAAATCTTAACTTGTTAAGAATCTGATTTTATCTTTTCTTAAAAAAGTTTTTAGAATTTTTTTTTGGCATTTCTAAAAAAGTTCTTTGAAAATATAGAAAATAAACAAATAATGATTTTATGTAATAACCCAAATTAAAATTTATAAAAAATTTAACTGAATTAATTTATTCAAGGACCTAATTGTGAAAATAAAAGTTTAGGGGCTGATTTGGAAAATCTGAAAAGTTTGGGACTCAATTGAAACTACTAGGGACTAAATTGAAGGAAATCAAAGTTGGTGGACTAGATCTAAAAGAAACAGAAAGTTTCAGCCCGACAGGAGGCCGAAAATTTGGATGTCAAATCCACCGTGATGTTTGAAGATTTTTGTCAATCATTTACACCGTTGCGTGCATTTTTAAGAGGAGAGAAGAAACCCTCTCTCAAATGTTAAGATTGAGCGAGTTTGGAGAGGGAATCAAGCATTTTATTTGCCCTCCGTGACTGTGACGGATTTTCTGGAAATTTCAAGCCTTTGATCAGCTTTTAATTCGATTAAAGGCTTTCTTGAGGATCGACTAGTTGGGTTTTGTGGTTTTGGAAGGCAAAACAATCAAGGAAAGTGGTTTTTACGATTTTTTTTCCTTTTTTTTTGATTTTTTTCAGTTCTATGTCATTACAGACCCGGTTTTCTACAACTAGTATGACGACCGGGGCATTCTGGGCAAGGACAAAAGGACCCAGATGGTCGAGTCCCCATGTCATGTTGGTCCAAGCCATTGGGCCCAAACTTGGGCAGTTGAGCTGAGGGGGCCCGTAAGCCTTGGCTGCAGGTTGGCCTAGAGAAATTGAAAAAAAAAAAGAGGAAGGGGTTTGGGCTTAGGTTAGGCCCAAGCTGTTGGGCTGCCCCTGGCTAGTAGGCCGAGCCAGTGGGCCGCGCAGCTCAAGCCGATGGCCCGAGTCGAACCACCAAGCCACCGAGTTAAGCGGATTAAGAAAAAAGGAGGGTTGATTGAACCAACCAATGGATTTGACCATTTGGTTCAATGGCCAAATTCATTTCAATTTAGGAAGGTTGACTAGTTCTAGATTCAAGAAGAAAATATCTACTAGACCGAGTAGGTTCGGTGGTTCGGGGAGGTCCAGTTTGACTAGAAATTTAGTATTTTTGATTGAACCGGCCCGGTTCAAGCCAGTTCAGGAGTTTAAGTGGCCGATTCAGCCTTATTTTGGGTAGTTTTTGACCGGTTTAAATTGGTTCTTAGGGTTTTTGAGTATTCTGAATCTGATTTTGAGGGTTTCATGACTGGATCAAGTCAGTTTGAGGTAGTTTTAGACTAATTTAGGTTGATTCGAGGGTTTTGAAGGTCAGTTCTCTATAGTTCGAGGGTTTTGAAGGCTAGATCACCATTTTGAGGGTTATTGGATAAAATTTTTGTGTATTAGTGAGTCATGTGGGTCCCAATGATGGTTTTTGGGTGCCTTGGGGTGCATGCCAAGGTGTCGGGATGGGATTTGAGCTGGTTCAGGTTATTAAGCCATTTTTGGTGTGAGTTTTGGCGTTGGTGATGATCTTGTATGGCTTTGACTATGGATACGGCTGAAGAGGTGCACCTAGACCGGTGAGTCGGGTGAGGGTGATTGGGACTTCTTTCTTGGTTTAAGTTCTGTATTGTGAGTGATTATTCCCTTTCTATGCATATATTTTTCTACTGCGATTTTTCTAGCATAACTGATTATATGTTTTAGAATCTGTATTTTGGTTACGAGATATGTGTTATGTGATTTGCGACACGGTTAGTGAGCCATGTTGATATATGATATCAGTTTGAGTTATGAACTATATATGTTTATTTTGAATTCATACGTGGGGAATCATCATTTGTATTGAGATTGTTTTGCCTTAGTGGACATGATGTGTTGCTCTGGTAAGCGTGTGCCTGGTGGGCGGCCCTAGTGGGCGTGATGTGAACTCGATCGGGCGATGGGCATCTGATATGTTTATGAATGTGGTTATGGTTGTGATGCCTCCGATCGAGGCTGGAATTTCGTGATGTGATAGTTACACTCTCACATATGATGTTTTGATATTGAATTACTCATTGGATTTATATATATGTGTTATAAATGATTTTGGACTTGAGGTGTGATTTATATCCTAATATATATACGTTAAGTATTATTTGTACTCACTAAGTTTCGTGACTCACCCTTTTATTATCGTTTTAGATCAAGGTGACTGTTCGTATTTCAGTTAGTGGTGGTTTGAGCTGAGCTCCAAGATTCAATTGATGTACGAACATGTTTCATTATGTTATCACTTTTGTACTCAAGATTGTTCCTTTGTTTTCTCAGACAGGATTTTGGTTTGTATTTGAGGATTTGAGTTTGTATGTTGAGACTAGTACTGTTGATATGATATATTTGGTATGATTATGTGTCTTGGTTTGAGGCTGATTAAGGTTGATAGATTTTAGTGCCGGTCACAAGCCCGAGTTTGGGTCTTGACATTTTATTAAAGAAGAGCTAAGGGTACACCAACTTTACTTATTTGAGTTACTTATCTAATTAGAAATTAAGATAATGTTTAATTCAATTGAAAGAATTAATTTTTTAAGTTTTAATTTTTTAAATTAAAAATATAAGAACAACTCAAAAAATCTATTTTTTAATAATATAATTTAAATATTTTTTATTTTTTAAAAATATTTTTTAAAGATATGGTGGAATCATATTCTTGAAAAGTTAAATTCTTTTTATATTAAATTGAGTAACATAAAAAAATTAAAAATTTAAAAAGTATTTGAAATGAATAAAGTAACTTGTTGATTTTTTTTTTACTATAGTCAATAATTTAATTTTATGATAAAAATTTATTTTATTTTTATAAAATATATTTATATAATATATATAAAATAAAAATTATATTTAATATTTAATAACAATTAAGAAATTATTATTTTAAAAAAAAGTTGGGCGTTATTTAATTAAATTTGGAAAAAGGATAATATTTTTTAGGGTAAAAAGCACTTTTATTTTTCTAAAATTGCTTAAATCCCACTTAGTTCCATTTATTATGAAAAAATACTTTTCATTTTAATTAACTATTAACTAATAATTTTTTTTAAAAAATAATAATAACTCAATTTTATCTATTTAGATTACCTATGAGACAAAAAATTAGAGTATTATTTTATTTATTAAAAAATTTAAATTTTTATTTTTATTTTTAAATTAAAAATTTTAAACTTTAAAAAATCTAACTTTCTAATAATATAATTTTACTATTTAAAAAAATTTCTTTTATAATATTTTAATTTTATTTAATTTTTAATTTAAATAATCTAAATCATTTTTTAACTTAAATGTAACTCAACTCATTTTTATTTTAATATTTAATAATAAAAATAAAAATAATTTAAAAATTAAAAAATAATAAAATGAAATTATTAAAAGATAATTTTTTTTTGAAATTAAAAATAAAAATTTTAAAATTTTTAGGTAATTATTAATAGATAATTAATTAAAAATAAAATTAAGTATTATTTAAAAAAAATAGGGTGGAGGGATGCCTCTTACCTTATTTTATTATTAAAAAAATGTCTGAAAAAAAGTTAAGTATTGCTCTGATGCGTGGGTCGTAGCTTCCAGCGTTGCAGGGTTTTGGCCAAGTGCGTGCGGTTGAACTGTAGCAGAGCGGAACAACCCTAGGGCCAGCAATTACCCTCGGTGAAGCACAATAAAAGAAATCGAATTTGAAATTTCGGGTAGCCAGAAGCCATGAAGCACTATTCCACGACAGCTGCTTCCTCTAAAAATCCCGTCAAGTTCAGGATGTAAATTTCGTCATCGTCATCCCCGGATCAGTTGCTTGAATAAAGTTTTTCATTCGATATAATTGTCGTTTCTCTTAATGAAATCGATATAATTGTATGCATAATTTAACTCTTTTTTTTTTTTTTTTTTCCCGAATGCAGTCCAACTGCTGAAAATCTGGTTCCAATTCGTCTGGATATCGAGATCGATGGTCAGAGGTTTAGGGACGCGTTTACCTGGAACCCTTCTGGTACTCGATCTTTGTTTTTCTCTTTCTATCTTTCCAGTTTGAGTCCCCTCTCTTGTCTGTCCTGTGTGTTAACCGATTAGGGACGAGGTATTGCAGCAAATCCCCAGTTCATAGCATAAGACTTAATCTGAAGCATTCTTTTACTCATTGCCTATTTTGACGGTAAATTTACAGTAGGATTCCAATTGCCTCTGAATGGAACTCATTGCACTTGAAATAACTGTGGTTCAAGAATAATTGCAATAATAGATGGTACGCCAGCCAAGAAATAAATGAAGTTTTACCTTCAGATCCCAAATATCTTGGATAGTTAGAGGTCACAGGACTCAACCCCTTGAACAGCGGCGAAGACTGGGAGAGAAAAATGAGGTAGGAATGGCCAACCAGCTTAATAAGTTGTTATCTGCACATGTGGGCTGATTTGGTTAGCAATTTACCTGAATTGGCCAGTGTTTTTGTGTCTCCCTTATTTAAAGTCTTCTCAAGCCAATTTTCTCTGTTTCGGTTCAGCTCATCTTAACCTTTTGCAAAACCAATTTGCAAGCTAGATCTGAACTCATTATAATATTCATTTTTTTATTTTAAAAAATGAGGGTTTTGAGGATGAGGTAAAGCTTCTTTGTTTGCTAAAAACATATTACATAGTAACTTCATATATTTGTGCAATGTGTATGAAGTTCAGTATTGATATTCATATCTGATGCATCCCTATTGTAATTATTGTTCATTAACTATTTTCCATATTTATTATATTTAAATATTGTCTTCTTTATTTAAAGTTTCTAGTTTACCTGGGACAGTTAATATTGAATATAATGAACAAATAAAATCTAGAATCTTTTTGAATATAATGAAAAATATTGAATACTTTAATACTTCTATTGTGTTGAAAAATATAAAAATCCTAAAAATCAGTCCAAATCCAAATGTTTGTGTTCCTAAAAGACTCGTTACTAAAGTTTTTAGGAAGTTCATTTGGAGGGAAAGACTTATGACTTTGACCTTTGATAGTATTACATTATGAGCATTATGCCTTGAAAGTGGAAACCATTAGAAAATTACAAAAACCATTAGGGTAAAAAACCTCACTTTCTTCAAGTTTGCTTAAATGATACTTAAACTCATTTTTACTCCAAAAAAACACTTTTTTCCTTTGACTTGAGTTGATTGATGGTTTTGTTAATTTCCACTCACTTGCCGTTAGATTATATTAATTTAAAATATTAAATTTATTTTTTATGCATAATATATAAAATATATTATATAAAAATAAAATAAATTTCTTATCATATAAAATTAATTTATTCATTGTATTGAAAAATATTAACAAGTTGCTCCATTCATTAAAAAAACTTAATTTTTTACTTAATTTTTGCATTACCTGATTTAATATAAAAAATTAAAAAACTTAACTTATTAAGATTCTCATTTTGCTACTTTACTATTCATAATTTTTAAAAAATATATTTTTAGGTGAATCAAATGCTACTTTAATTTCTAAATAGATGGGTAATTAATACAGATGAAGTTGGATTACCTTCACCTCTACTTTAATAGAATTGTTAGTTTTCTTTTGTGTTTTTATATTTTAAAATGATTTTTTTAAGAATACCACCAAAACTTTTTAAGAAAATTTTAAAATTCGATACTTAATAATTTGAGTTTTTTAAGTTCTTTGAATTTTAAAATTTTCATATGAGATCAAGTAACATAAAAATTGAAAAAAAACAAAATTTTAAAAAATAATTTTTTAATTAATGAAGTAACGTGTAATATGTTTTTATTATAATGAATAATTTAATTATATGTAGTAAAAAAATTATTTTATTTTTATAAATATATTTATGTTATATGTATAAAGAAATTAAATTTAATATTTTGAATTTATATTATCTAATGGTAAGTGGATAGAATTTAACAAAACCGTTAGCCAACTTAGGTCAAAGTGCAGAGTGTTTTTTCATCGTAAGAATGTGGTTAAGTGTTATTTAAGTAAACTTAGAGGGATGGGAGTCTTATGTTGACCAAAATATTTATTCAATCCTCATATTGGAGTGCTAACCTTTTATTTACTTTAGTAGTTTACGACTTTGGGAATCAATATGCATCAATGGATCACATAGTGGTCATATCTCAGATTCTGGTCAAGACTTTCTTTGCTGTTATAAAGTCACCGCAAAAAGTCCAAATAGATTATGCATCTCCAATAGAAGGAACGAAAGTTATCAAATTCTTTTCATGTTTCTCTTAGATTTTTTGTTTACGTTATGCATCCTAATGTGAGTAATTCTTGCCATTGCTTCTAATTATATAAAATACTTGCGTATGCTCCTGTAGATCCAGATTCAGAGGTGGTGGTATTTGCCAAAAGGACAGTTAAAGATTTAAAGCTTCCTCCAGCATTTGTTACACAGATTGCTCAATCCATTCAAGTAACTGGAATAAGCAAAACTGTCTGCATCTTATAACTAAAAAGAAATGGGTAAAAAATACTCATCTCCCTCCAAGTTTACTTAAATAACACTTAGTCCCATTCTTATCATAAAAGAATACTCTCTCTTTTAACTAATTGTTGACTAACAGTTACCCATTGGTTTTGTTAAAAAACATGTGAGAATAATCCAATTTTATGTACTTTGATAACCCATCTGATTAAAAATTAAATATTATTTGATTCATTTAAAAATTTATTTTAAAAATTTTTAATTTTAATTTTTTAAAATAATAAAAAACTAACTTTTGATAATTTAATTCTATATATTTTTTAATTTTCAAATGATTTTTATTTTGTTATTTTTTAGTTTGATTTAAATGCTGAAATAAGAATGGTTTGAGTGTCATTTAAGTTAAAAAAGGGGTGAGTGTAATTTAAACTGAAAAAAGATAAAAAAAATTAAAATATTATAAAATAAAAATTTTTAAAAATTAAATATTTTTTATTATTAAAATTTTTTAATTTAAAAATTAAAAATAAAAATTTTAAATTTTTTAAGTAAATCAAATAATATTTTAATTTTTAATCATACGGGTAACCTAAGCAGGTAAGATTGGGTTTCTCTATCCTATTTTTTTAACAAAACTGTTAAGAAATTGTTAGTCAACAGTTGGTTGAAGGGGGGAAGTGTATTTTTATGATAAGAATGTGTTTGAATGTTATTTAGGTAAATCTAGAGGAAGAGAAGTGTTTTTTACCCAAAAGAAATTATAGCTAGTTCTCTATCTTATAATTGTCTGCTTTTAAATCTGAATTTTGCAGTCACAGCTGACAGAATTTCGATCATTTGAAGGGCAAGATATGTACACTGGTGAAAGGATTGTCCCTATTAAGGTTTCTTTTGGCTATCACATAATTTTAGTTATTGCTCATGGAAAATTATTTAGGTTTTTTCTTTGTATTTATTTATTTGGTACATAAGGTTATTAGCATGCACTTGATATTCTTTGTTTTCCTCTTTGCAGCTTGATCTTCGAGTAAATCATACTCTAATAAGGGACCAGTTTTTGTGGGTGAGTCTACTGACATTGCATTTTGAGGATCTATTTGAGAATTTAGAATTCAGAATAACCATTGTTAGATCACTTTGTTGTTTAATGTGCTTTACGTTGGCCACTAGGATTTGAACAATTTTGAGAGTGATCCGGAAGAATTCGCAAGAACCTTCTGCAAAGAGCTGGGTATTGAAGATCCTGAAGTTGGAGTAAGTAGTGCAAATTTAGCTTCATCCTTGAAGACTATGGATTTGGGGAAAAAATATTCAAATTGAAACTTTTACCAGTGTATCAACACTTCTAGAATATGTATATTGGCTTCTAGTTGTGTGGCTTTCACAGCCAAAAGAGATGGTCATTTCAGCACAAAAGATGGGCACCAACAATCTTATACTTCTTTAGCTTTCCAGTCTAAGACAAGAAAGGACACAGCCATATAGGACACCATCCCAACCTTTTACAAGCTGAGCTTTAATGAGTTTGCATCCAAAAGAGTTGTTAGTAACAAATTATACCCAAACTCATTCAGGAAACACTTGGATATAACTTGGCTCAACCTGACTTGTTAGGCTAGTCCTGAATCATATTAGTTAAGCAAATTGTTTACTTGACTACTAAAATTTACATTACAATAATGAAGTTTGGGGTTCAGACTTTGATCTTTGTAAAGAATCTTCAACTTGTTTCTGACACTAATCTTTTAATATAAGTTGTATATAAATGCATAAAAACAAACCTATGCCCAAAATCTATTTTGTAAAAGTATCCTGAGCTTGATCTAAGGACAGCAACCTTCAACCGGACTTACCTGGAAATTTATATAAGCTTAGCTTGAACCACAGCCAGCTAATTCAGCCTGGCTGCATTGACTGGCCTGTCTGGCAGAATATTTTTCCCAAAACATAATATATGTTTAAAGCAACAATCAAAACCACAAATGTTTTTCTTTTCTAATTTTCTCTTTCTTGTTATTGCATCATATGCTTGGTGTGATTCGTGCAAGAATTAGTAGACATAAAATAACTATGCCAACACAACATATGTAAATGAGTAGAATTAAGATGAGTATGGCTGCTGTACTGAAACACAATATTTCACATTGATATACAAGTATCATGAAAGGCTGAAAAAATTGGAAAAGTTTAGTGCTTTTCACCCTTCCAGTAGATCTAATTTGGGGTTTTCCGACCATTGCATCCAATGGAATCCGTGGGACTTATGATAAATTTTTTGTTTTGATGAGGATGTTCAGGCAGATTACTATTTATCCAAATGAAGGATATCTAAAGCATGTCACCGAACATGTCATCCACTGTATTGGGTTTTGGAGGCCAATTGGTGAGAGGAAGAAGACTTTGCCAATGAGAACTAAGCATGGGATACTTGGAGTTTAGAAGAAGTTGAATATCTCTATTCATGCAAATATGGTGCTTTAGCCAGCTACTAAGTCAATAGGAAGAGGATAGCTTTCATCTGAGATATGGTAACGAGGCAAAGCAGAATTGGTGAGAAGGTATCGCAATCCTGCCTAACTTTTGGTGGATAAGGATAAAGGGATTTCTCATCGCAGAATGTGATGGATTGGGGTTGCTAAAGTTACTTTTTTGTTTTGATGCTCCATTTACATTATAAATATGATTGAGCACCAATTTTTAGCCAAACCTATTTGAATGAAAACCTAATTCCAATTTAAATTTTTTTAACATAGAAATTAAAACTTGCAACAAACAATTTATAAATTTGAAGAGAAGAAAATAAAACTAAAAAAAAGGTTATTTAAAGTGAAATTGAAAATATGATTATATTATGTATATTAGTTGGTTATTGTGTTGTATATTGTTGCGTGTCTATGTGAGGTTTATTTTTAAATAAAAAATATGCATTAAAATAGTAAATATTGGGGCTTATATTTTCAATACCTACCTTTATTCTTGTGGGATTTAGCAGTACCATTGCTTTGGTTGGGCAATCAATACAGAGTAAGTCTGCTTAGAAAATCCATCCCCACCTACTTATAGGTTGTGAATTCTGCAACTGAGTTGATGCCTAAATACGTGAAGGGGTATGTACAGCTTTGCATAGAGCTTGGCCATGTAGTAGATTTTGTGGTTTTGTCCTTTAACCGTCACCCTAAGGAACAGTTGATGGTTTGGTAGATATTAGACTCTGGCAGGTCGCCAATTCTGCAACCATGTTGATTGCTAAATATGTGAAGCGGAATATACAGCATTGCGTAGAGCTTGGCCATTTAGTGCATTTTGTGGCTGTCTTTTAGTTTGGAGACCCTCTTGTTTCATGTTGTTTCAGTCAAGCCCCAAGGACCAGTTGATGGCTTGATATATATCAGAATCTAGTAGGTTGCCAATTCTTCCACCAAGTTGATCGCCGAATATGTGAAGGGAATTGTAAAGCATTGCATAGAGCTTGGCCATGTAGTAGATTTTGTGGTTTTGTCTTTGAGTTTGGGGACCCTCTCTTTTCAATTTGTTTAGGCCAAGCCCTAAGTAACAGCTGATGATTTGATAGATATTAAACTCTAGCCAGTTAAGCCACTTGAATTAGAGATGATGAGGCATTTTGAGGGCCTCCCATGTGCATTATTTGTTTTAATTTTTTTTTTCTTTTGTTTACATCCCATGTGCACTATTGCCTGTGTGTGGTTTGGTAGGTTTTCCTCACAACCTAGATTTGGATTGCTTGGAGAGCTAGTGGTGAGGAGCTTGGTTTCATCTATCGGACAAGCTGGAGACTTCAGCAGGGATAAAGTAGGGGGACCACCAAAGGAGAATGGGTTTTTCTAAATTTTATCAACTACAATAGTGATTTTAAATTTATTTTGGTCAACATTATATCATAAATTGGATGAATATTGATGCATGAGGGCTACCATCTATATGGCTACCAACCACCATTTAGACTGCATTTTGTTTGACAAATATAGTGGTTTTTTTGTTTTATTAGCTTTCCTCTTTTTTATTGCTGATTTATTGAGTATATAATCATATGTGATCAAATAATTCATTTGAAACATCTCAATGTTATTTATTTTACTAAAACACTTTGACTACTGCCCATTTCTTGAGTTTTAACGACAAGAATTAGTATTTCTCAAATGGATGTTCTTGCTAATATCTGCACTACTAAGGTTTGGGATAAGGTTTAATTTCAACAATTTGAAAGTTTCTGCTATTATTTGTTCCACAAATAGCAATATAGAAAAATTTTAACTGCATTTAAAAAGGTTAACTTAAATCTAACTGATAGGGAAGGTATAGAGAATGATGAGATTGCATAATGATCTTATTCGTGGTTAGTGTCACCTCCTCTTGCCCTCTTTCGCAGGCAGGCACAGACATGCTTATATGTCCATCGATTCTCATGGGTGCTTAAGTTTGTATTATGTTTCCCTTTCTTGTGCCATTTTTGCACTCATGTGCTTGTGTTCCCTTCATGCTTTTGTCTAAATATGCAAGTGGTATCTGTTTTTTATCGATTCCTTTACCTTAACCCCGTCTCTTCTCTCTGTTAAAAGAAATTTATGTACATTTCTTCAATCTTTTCTGTAGCTGCAAGTGGTATCTGTTCTAGATCTAGCATTTAATTGTTTACCTTAACCACGGTCTTCTTTCTGTTAAAGATTTTGATCTCTCTTCACTTGGTTTTTGCTTTGCAGCCTGCAATTGCTGTTGCGATTAGGGAACAACTATATGAGGTTAGGATGTAATGCTTTGCCCCAAGTTCTGGAATACATGATCTGTACTAGCTATTATTTCTCTTCACTAGTCTTAGTACTTAATATTGCTAGACCGCCATCCAGAGTGTTGCTTCGGCCAGGGAAACTAGAATAAATAAGAAGGGTCGCAGAGGATCTGAACAGTTTTCAGCCAGGTTTGCTCCACTGTATTATTGCCTTTACTGCTTGCTTCAATTTTGTTGATATTAATATATTTTTGGTTGGAAAACTGACTTATCTGACAAGATGGCTGTAGGTTTGAATTGCTGTCTGTCTTCTTTTAACAATTTTTCTCACCCCTTTACGTTCTGTCTCTCAGTAAGGCAGGTGGACCCGCATTAGACTTGATGAAGTTATTCGGTAACAGATCAAGTGTTATTCGGTAAGGTTCTTCATTTTCTACCAATTTCTGAATCCAAGTATCTGATTGGGTCTGTCCTGGTGAAATAATAAATGGATAGTTGAGATGCCTTTATCCACTGCCTCTAATGGTGTATTTTGGACTATTGTTGAGGAAAAAGGAAATAGAAGAAAGAATATGGAAAAGAAATATACAAGGAATATCCTCTTTCATTTTATTGAAGAAAAAAGGAGGAAACTTGGTGCAATATTTAAGTCATTGCATCTCTTATGTCTATGGGGTCTGGATCCCCACGCAGTATATAAAGACTATCTATCAAGAGTTCATGGGGGTGTAGCATGCTTTCCTTCGGCATGTTATGAAAATTTAATTTAGTAATGGTATAGTTAGTTTTTTTCCCCTTCTAGTGACTTCAAAGCGCAAATTTCTGTGTTTCTTTAGGAAAAGAAGGGAGTGGGATGTCTATGAGCCCATTGTCGATCTCCTATCGAATGAGGAAGTGGATGCCCTTGAAGCAAAAGAAGAAAGGAATGCTCGGGCATGAAGTTTTCCTTGGAACCATAACTATGTTTGGCTTAAATATTTAGTTTTTTCATGTTTGCATTGATTTGTGCTTGGGAAATTCTGTAATGTTGACGTCTGATTTGGTAGCAGCCTATATATATCCTCTGTTCCACCAATAACCTGCATCTTTTTGAATATTGAAATTCTCCACTTTGGCTTCTCTTTCTACCACTTTCTGACTTGTCTGGACAGTGCGTGAAGACAAATCATGCAATAAGCATGAGAAGGCCGAGAGTTATTGAAGAAAATTGATTGGATTAGTGATAGAAATATAGTTAAGGATAAAGCAATTAGGAAGTCAAAATACTGCCACTGAGATAAGAGAAATCAGTTTGCCGTGCTTCTAGCATTGTTGCCAAACAGTTCACCATTACAACTTGGCACCTATTGCCAAAGCGTATAAAAGTTGTTCGAAGCACAAACTTTTATTTACATGTTTCTTGTCATTTAACATTTGAATAAGAAAAGTCACTTGCCACCATATCCCAATAACGACAAATTCTGCCCGCAAAATATGAGGCAAAAAAATGGAAAAAGCTGGCATCAAGTATCCCACCTGCCCAAGATTTATAGGTTATATACATCATGTGCATACAACGCCGAAGAATCCCCGAATTAAAAAATAAAATGAAAAATGAGATAAAAGATACAATAATTGCCTAGGATTAGTAGTACAAGTTGCACGGTTTAAATATCTCGAGGACAAAAACAGACGTGTGAATGAGTCATATTTGATCCTGAAGAAAATTATTGGCTATCAACCTCAGGAGTTTGAATCCAGGTTGATTTCATGGAGCTCGTCCACGGATGCAGAGAAGGAGCCAATCTGGGCCGGGCGTCCATCGAGTCTTGGTTTGGGTTCCACTTAAAATTTGGCTTTGCGTCTTGCACTGAAAATCTCTCAGAGCCCCGAACCTTAAATCTTGAATGGAGTTAGGGTCTGCAATTATTGCATGGAATATTCAAATGTCCTTCAAGCATGCTCACCACCTCAGTCATGGTTGGTCAAAGTGATGGAGATGCATCAGCACACAAGACTCCTACTTCAACCAACCATTCCACTTCTTCCTTTTGTCCACTTCAAATCCCAGCCTTGGATCAAGATACGTTTCCACTTTGTTGCAAGTTACAGGCCTGCATATCTGTACATATATATACACACATATATATGTATCAGTTCTCATTTCTCAGGGAAGGGAGAGAGGAGGCATGAAATTTGGGAATAAGAAAAACAATTGGCTACGCAAAATGAAAGTAAGGAATGGGGCCTAGCTACCCAATCTAAAAGACGAGTAGCTGTTATTTGGCATGTAAGTTCTTCCCACTAACAATTTCCAAAGCCACAACTCCAAAGCTATAGGCATCTGCCTTGTATGTCAAGTGCTCCCATAGTGCATATTCAATCGCTTAGGGGACTGTCTGATTAGAGGATAAGCTATCTTTGTGGGTTCATAATTTTGGGGAACTCTAGTAGGCTAGAGAATAGCAGGTCCAACTTCTGTTGCAGGTCGTTGATCCATGTCACAAAGGCAACTGGGCCCAAGTCCAATGCCTTGGAACTTATGACGCCCAACAGTGTCCGAATATTGTAACGGCTGCCAACAACTTCCATCTCCAAATTATAGTCACTGCAATGTCTGGAGGACATAACGACTACGACATAGTTCAAACTTGCACTGCACTCTAGCTTGTGTTGTCGGCGGCCAATTTGAACCCACAAAAATAGCTTCTTCTCCAATCAGACAGTTCTTTGAGCGACTGACATCAGATGTCGCGTCCAACCTGTACTAAAAATATTTCTTCAACATTCCCATCATGATGGAATATTTCGTCAATATTCCCATCATGACCTGCAACGACCAACTCTGACTCGACGCGCCTTTATTTTGAAAATAGGTGCATGTGATGACTATCTGTACTCGTAGCCATAATAGTAGGCGCGTGTACCTCATGCAATGCGGGATTAAAAAGCAGCCCAAAAAAAAGCGTGCCTATGGTGCCATGGGCCTCAACCAGCCTGGCCCAAATAGCAGCCCAATAAAATCGGCCCAGAGGTCCTTGGAAGGACTTTTTTTTCTTTTCCTTTTTTTTTCCCCTGCTGAATATTCCCTGCCATCCAATTCGTTTGCGCGGCACAATCTCTACCGTACACGTGGGAGGGATGGGGCCTAGTAATATTATTATATACGCCCCCCCCCCCACGGAGAGGGAGTATAAAGGTCCCTCCAGTCCCTCCAGATATTTGAGACTTTTGAGAGAGCAACCCTCCGCGGAGGGACTTCCATATTTACAAGAATGCCACACACACCTGGCTTCCGTCTTCAAAGCAAAAGTATCTTCCTCACTTACCTACACTGTCCCATAGGCAAAGATGAAACCTTCTGACAACTCCAAGCCCTATTTCTGATAAAGTAAGTCAACTTAGATTTTCCACCTTAAAATGTATATCTTTTGAATGATTACAAACTTGATTTCAAACCCATTAGTATGTTTAGTATGGCAAAACCTCGAAACAGAGTGTTTAGATTTTGGTTTCTAATGTATAAGTATAATGTTGATGATGTAATGTTGTTTTGGTGTGTTGGCACTCAGACTTGAATGCTAGACAGCCATCTAGGGCAGGTGGTAGTCCTACAGCTTGCATTATGACATTAGACCCTGGGAGGTTTCAAACATCATAGACTGTGTAGTCTGACCTGAGTAGTGACCCACGGCTCAAGCTACATAGTGTAGTAGCGTTCGACATCTTTTCATGATTTATATTTTCATGGTTTACTACATTCAAAATTGATATTGTGGACTGTGTACACTCTATCATATTACTTACCACATGGCTTATGATCTCTTTATATCTCTGTTTTAAACATGTTATGGAATGCCTAGATCAGACAAAGATTTTATTTTCTATGATCTTTCAATCCTATGATCTTATACTTAGATGACACAAAAGGCTAGTTGTGATGTTTTGGCTAATGATTTCCATGCTGTGCAGTTTCCTTGATAATGTTATATACATATATATTTTAAGAAATTAAAACCGCTCTATTTCTGCTAAGTTTAATTTATATGCCATTCACTGAGATTCGATCTCACTTTTTATTTCTAAAATTTTAGATTTTATACAGTAGCCCCATCACCAACTAGCATAGTTCGTGCTTGCATTGCATGTTAGTTGAGGTGGGCTAGTAAGAATTCTTGGAGGATTATTTTGTTATTTTGCACTTGTTTAGTCATAGCATAAGTATGAGGGTTGTAGTGCAGGGATACAATGTATGGTGGACTTTTGTACATCAATTTTGAATTGCAAGTAATGACAGTGATGTGAATATATATATGTATATATATGGCACGCCTAGGTTTTAGGTATGAAAATATATATACTAGACTGTTTGAGTGTACAAGATTCATTGTCCCAGAATATTATTGTATATATGTTTATAGGTTAAATTTAGAGAGAAGGGATTACAACGGTTGGCATGCTGCCGAACTTTTGTCACTAGTAGGTGTTGGCCGTTGCCCCAAGTATCATGGCTTGCCAAAGTGGAGCGATGGGCGGGGTGTGACATTCGGCCAGTAAGGGTTTTAGCCACCAAATCCAGCTCAAAATCACATGTTTATTCTGTTGAATGATAGAAGAATAAGAGTAGCATGAAGATTTACAAGAAATTTCACACAAAGCCAAGTTTTCTAGAAACTTCTAGAAATTTCTTACCCTTTTTCCTTCTTTTTTCTTCTTCTTCCTTCCTTCGTTCTTTCTTTTCTTTCTCCCTTCTTTGGCTTGTAGGCCAAATGGGAGTTTCTAGATGCAAGAGGGCTTTTATATTCCCCCTTAAGTCAGCAAAGGCCCCCCACAAGAAAAGACCAAAATGCCCCTCATTCTCTCCAAATTCTCTTTTATGTCCTTTTTGAATTCTAATTCCATTTCTAACCCTGAGCAGCTCTTCAATGCCTTTCTAATCCCTCTAAACTTAAAACCTAAACTAGGTTATGTCACTAATAATTTTTCCTATTTCTATTTATTTAAATTTTTATGTTTATTATTTCTAGTTTAATTATGTAACTTATAGTTTTTCATTTCTAACTTTATCTTTCTTCCCATTTTCTTTCACTATCATATAAATCTCACATTCTAATGTTTTCTAATATTGTTTTAAGCCTTTCTAAGGTTGTAGACAAGCAAAAATAAATTAATTCCCTTAAGTTTTAAATTTCTCAAAATATGCTTGTAATAAGCTTAATACCTGTAATTCATGAAGAAATGTATGAAATGGTGTTATGCGTGCTTAGGTGTTGAAGTTGTGCATTTCAAACTTGGTTCAGAATGTCAAACTAATAATCTTCATGCTACACCTTCTTCAAACCAATTTGAAAACCTCTTCAAGTTCTAAGTTGATTAGCCTTTTGTATAGGTTGGGAGAGACTTGCACCCCAAGGAGTCAATTCCCTTGTATTGCTTGAGCTTCCCGAGTTGCTCCTCTCACTTGTATTGCATGGGAGTGAGTCAACAAGACAACAATTAACTTTGCTTTGTCTAGTCAACATTAGATTGAAATTCAATATTTGAATGTCCATGATTACTGTATAAGAAATCACACCCAGGAGCTGCTTTTGAGTAACACAAGATTTGCCCGAAGCCTCCCAATGAGTGGAAGTGGGAGATCACATAAATTGATTCAAAGTACTAACAACATATGTAATATTTAGAAGATTGACTGTGAGGTAGTTCAATTTGCCAACTAAAACAATACCCCAATCACAATACATAACCCCTCACATTGATAAAGTGTCCAATACAGATTTAATAATTTATTAATAAATAACAACTACAAAAGCATCATGTTGGCTCAACTTCCAACTACTGTGTCAGGGAAACTCTAGTGCTGGTGCAAATAAATAGTGGTGCTTAGAAAAATCGCGCTAAAATCTGCATAAATTGAAGGCATGAGAACATAGGTTCCAGTGAATGACATATAGTTTAAA